AATATAGATATATATGCACATTTATACTGCATTACTCAGTAAGTATAATAATGACACATATTCACTACAGACCTCCCTACTCCTATTCTCTCTCTTATTATTTCCAATTACCTGTTATGTATGGTGGGAAACAATTACAATTTAACAGCAATACAACTTCTTCCACAGCCAGAGCACCACACCATGAGAAATAAATAACTTCCTTTGCCCCAAAGAACAAGATTTCTTTCCATTTCCCTTTCTTCCACTGGCAACAAGTGAGTGTTCCACAAACACACATTGAAATCACACTTGGACAGTTGAGTATTTAGCAAGTGGGGCAGTAATAGCAATGTGAACATTCTGGTTTTCCATGGAAATCTGCAGTTTCCTGCAAAATTTTGACAATTTTAAACTGAATTGATGACATAGCATCTTTCTGAAGCAAACAGTAGCAACTATATTTAGACCTCTGTATGCTAATAGCAACTCAAAACTCTGGTTTTGTTTGTAGCTGCTATGTTGGGTTTTTTAATAAAAAGATACCTTTTAATTAAAGATATGGGAAACACAAGATAATCTATGATTATGCTTGGAATTTTCCAAATTTAACAGGAATAAAAGGTTAATATTAATGAAGCTAATATTTAAGGATAAATAGTAGTTTTTTTTAAATAACTAAAAAGTAATTCCCTAAAAATTGAAGAATAATCAGAGCCTGATGTCTAAAAGTTACTAGCTTGTTTGCATTAGTAATTTTAAAACTGTGTTTTTCTATTATTATTTGTGTTTTGTTTTGTTTTGTTTTAAAACAATGAATACAAAAACACAGTAAGGGAGCAACAACTTGGATCCAGAGCTGTGTTCTAAAAAAGTTAGAGGTGTAACACATATTGAGATGTGGGGGATGAAATACCACTGATTTTATATTAATGATATGTAAATGCATTCATGAAATACTCAAAACAAGTTTTAGAGTAAATATGCAAAGACAAGGGGACCAAAACAAAATTTAAGAGAAGCAAAGTGTTATAAGGCCAAGATATATTATCTATGGTTCACTGAGTGCATTTTCAGTTGTATCACTTGATTATGTGTATAATTGTAAATTAAGAAAACCCAAACCATCTTGTTTGTGTGACATTTTAAACTTAATTACTTTAAAAAAAAAAATAAATAAGTTAATAAACATGATTTGTGGCATCTTCATAAGGCAAAACTGTAAATAAATCAAAAAATCAGAACACTTCTCCCCAGCAGTATTCTATTGTCTATCAGTCTAGAGCACAAATACACCAGGTTGGTCAACAATAAAATTAAAGAATCATAGAATCACAGAACAATTCAGGTTGGAAAATCCCCTTGGGATCACCCAGTTCAACCATCATCCCTGCTCTACAAAGTTGTCCCCTAAACCACATCCACCAACACCACATCCCAACGACCCTTAAACACATCCAGGGATGGTGACTCCACCACCTGCCTGGGCAGCCTGTTGCAGTCTCTGACCACTCTTGCTAGGAAAATATTTTCCCTAATTTTTCCTAAAGAGGACATACCAAAAAAGCAGCAAGACTTCTCGGGGGGGAATCCCAGTCAAAGCAGCTGCTGATGTAGTTGGCTGCAGTTATGAGCACCATGACACAACGCTTCATCCGGATGAAGTTTCTTAACAGCAGCTGTTGAAAAGAGGGAAGAAATGGAAATGTTTCAAAACCCCAAAAGCTGCAGAGAGGCTCAGGCTTACCACACTAACATTCATAATGAAAAAACAGCACATTAAGATCTTCAGCTTACAAATGGGGAAGGATCGTTTCAAATTTGAGAGACCCAGAAGAGGGACCATGTGTTAGTTGTGTCAAACAGTGTTTGTTGAATTTAATTCTAAATGGTACACAAATTGCTGTTCACTTTTAGAAAGGGAATTGAAAAATTCCTCAACTGATTTTTTTAAATTAGGATTTCAGAGTTTTACTAAAGGAAGCAGCACCTTCCCCATTCTCCACTACTGAACAAATGTTGGTCTCTTTAATAAAAAGATGCTGCAGGACATGAACCTGAAACTATGAAAAATGACTATACTAATCTAATTCAGATCATCTGCACCCTTTACCTCCAATTTTTCCTTCACTTCTAGCAAATTGGTCTGCTATACTGTATTTTGAACACATGGTTCTAAGTGTTTATCCAAGTAACTTTAAACACATACATTCAATCTATACAAAGATGAGATGTAACAGTGCTGGGTTTTGATTCAGAACAGCCCTATGTCCTGTAATATGGTAATAAACTTGACTAAAAAGAACTGAACTAACCAGAGAATGTTTTAATTTGTGTGTTGAGCACCTAGGTAGTTAAGACAGGTTCACTCTAGGAAAATCTGGATGTTTTAAAGTGCAGGTGCATCAGTCACACAAAAAGATTCCTTTTTTTCCCCCTCAATATAAGTGGCATTGTGGTGGGGCATCCCATGAAAGATAATAAAAAAAAAACAAAACCAACTAACCCAAAGAGGCTATTTAAAGTTAATTCCTCCTGCCATCTGCAAAAATCAAAGTGCCATTTTCTGTTACAAGAGTGGGGAGAACAAATCTTGAATAAAAGGCCTTGCTGCCTTTTTGCTGGAATAGCAGTGCAAAATGGAGCTTTAGTAACTGCTTTTTTTCACAACACAGAGAAGAAATATTTTGCCTCTTGAAATCTTTTTTAATGAAATACATCATCCAATTGACATGAAATTCATCTGACAGATAATCCAAATTATGCTTTCAGCAGAGTAAAAAATACACAACATTTTAAGACCTTTGCCTTTTCTCTGCAAACAACAAAAGTCTTGTTCCCACAGTTCAGCCAAAAGCCCAGTTGCCTCCATATAAAATACATCAGCTCTGGGAGACAAAAAACTGAATCACAAGTCGTTCAAGTGGAGAAAAAGGTAAGATGTTTCTTTAAATAGTTTTAACCAAAATATTAAAACTGTGTTTAGCAAAAATATCCAGAGAAAAAAGAAAAAAGGGTCCAGACATTCCACACCCACAGGAGTCTCCAGAGCAATAAAGAGTTTCAGTCTGCTTTCACCTTTGATTCAAGTCTTACTCAACTTCCTTATTTAAAATTTCACTGGAAGAATGTTGAAAGACTCTCTACCCTGCAACAAATTGAGATCTCTCGGGTCAAGGTTAACAGCAAAAATTTATGCAAGACTTAGTTTACATGCACCTGTGCTATAATCTGATACGTGTGGAACCTGATGGTTTCAACTGTGTTCTTATTCACGTATTTCATGGAAATTAAGCTGCAATTTATAGAGGAGACACAATAAACCCATGTATTTTGTTTCTGCCTTTTCGAACCTATCATATTCTTTCGTAAACAGGGAATGAAAATGTTATTCTTTCCCCTCAGCAGTATGATACCAGATATTTGGATGTGCACACTTGATATTGAGGCTTTTTGGAGGGGATTAGTGTTTCCTTACTCTTTACCTGTTTAGACAGTCTGTCTTCCTCCTCGATGTACTTCTCTTCCTTGGGCATTAAGGTTCGTATGCTGGCTTTCACCTAGGCATTAAAACCCGTGTCAGTATCTCAAGCTCACTGGCTCCTCACTAATAACACATGCTTCAATTTGCAAAAATTGCAAAGTTTCAAAGCCATGGCTGCCAAGCCCCTGACACAGAGAGGCAGGAGTTGCTGCTCCTCACATTATCAGCGATAGCAGCGGCAGCAGCAACAAAAAGAGTGGGTGTGCCAGGCAGTGGCAGAAGAGCATTCTGTGGTGCACATCAAGGTTTAGAGAAAATGAGGAATGACAGAAACTCTCTACAAATCAGGAACAAAAGCCTTCACGAAACTGAACTCTTTAGCAGTACAAAAAAGCCAAAGTTAAGACTTACAGCATTAAAAATCACATCTATTTCAAGATAGATGACCCCCTTTGTTGGCCCTGTCAGCTCCTTGTTTTTCAAGACGTAGGCTTTCTGTTCACCATTTTGAATCTGCAGGAAAAGGACATGACAGCCGTCTGTCTCGTGGTCTCTGCTGAATACAGCCCCCCCCGTGACCCCTGACCCCCAGCTGCTGAAACTGACAGAGAACCCAAAACAACTGTGGCAAGTCTGACAAGTACCTGTTCATTACCAGGACCGAGTCTGTCAGGAAAAATTAACTATCATGGGATTCAACGTGGCCGTGAATTGAGTATGTTAAAATTTTAGTGTTCTTATTACAGACCTTGGTTGAGAAATGACAGACACAGAGCTGCAAATATTTTTCTTTTTTTTTCCCCCTTTCCTTATTTTCTCCCCCTCCTGCCCCCCTCCTGCAGGAAAAATACAGAGCAGTGTGTCAGGTGGATGCAACTCACAGACAGCAGTGGTATAGCAACTTTGCCTAGGAAGTCAGCGCTCCGATCGCGGTCCTCGTCATACACTGTCACTTCCAGCACGGAATGGATGTCTTTAACATTGCTGCCAAGGGAGAAGCACAGACAGAAGAGAAGAAGGAGTCACCTACCCCAGCAGGCATCAAGGACAAAGGCATGGAAGGTTAGCAAAAAACAGATACCCAAGATTTTTCCTATGGCAGAGAACACAAGTTCAGTAAGTGAGGTGTTCCCCCCCCTTCCTGTACCACTGAAATGCTCTCCAAGGGCTGCAGCAACCCTGATCTCCCTGCCAGGCTTTCCCAGCAGAAGTTTTCCCCAGGATTTTGCTCTAAATCTCCTACCTGGGGTTTGCATGAGCTGCCAAGGGAGCCAAAATGGGGCAGGACTGGGGGTTTACCAGCTGCAGGCAGCAGGGCTGAGAGCCTTTAAAGACTGTCCCTTGAACACTGCTACCCTGGCAGCAACTCCTTCTGCAAATAACTGTGAGATCCTAGGTTTGCCAACAAAAGTAATTACAAGCTGCACAAGCACATCCTCGCACTGAGAACATGCTCTTTAACTCTAACAGCCTTGCTTAGTTACCAACAGACAACAGCCATTACAGCAAACGAGGAGCAAGCAACACAGAACGGTGCATTTTTCAGCTGATACTGGGTTTTTTTGCCTGCGAGCCACTGAACGCTCCTCCACGAGGGCACAACAAATGTCACTGTACACTGAGAACTCTCAAGTGAAAACAATTTCACATTCCTTGTTCTGAGAAAAAAAAACCAAACCCACAATTGCTTGAGAGAACTCATCTTTGATCAGATGGCTGATCCAGGACATAGGAACTCAAGAAAAGCATTTTAACTTTGGTAGAATAACACGTCTCCAGACGAAACTGCCTCACCAGCCCAAAATTAATTGACAAACTAATAACTAAAACAGTCAGTGCAAATATACGTAGAAGAGAGATGAAAACTCTCCTGGAAGGCTGTTGGGAGGTTTTGTATTTGATTCCTGATGAGTCTTTTGTCCTCTACAAACACAGGCAATTTCTTATGCAGAGAACATCATCAAGCAGTAGAGGTTGATTAGTTATTGGCTCTATTAGTAGATAATTAAAAATAAATTAATGAAGAATTTTTTTTTATTTTTTTTCAGATACATAAATGAGAACTACCTTAATAAGCTAACGAGAAGCACAACTGTTGTGAGATTTTTTCTTCTGCTCTGAGTTCATTCTTGAGAGCTCAATGCAGGGTAATAAAAGCTACGGATGCCAAATACACAAATGACACATTTAGGAGGGGAAAAAAAAAAAAAAGGCAAGCAAATTAAAAAGAGACTCAGTTTTGAGGTGAAAGGCAAAACACAGCATTTTCATTCCCGATAAAGTGAAGTAAGTGTGCACAAAGGTAAAGCTTCCACTGGTTTTGCAGTGGATTGTTTGCTGATTTCAGC